GTCACTCAGCTGTTCAGCAAAGTGCCAGTATGATTTCGACACCATCCTATGCGGCTTCTAGTTCATCAAGTCTTAATATGGCTGAAGCATTGTCACAGGCCCCCGCACGAGTTCATGCTGCTACTCAGGTACATAATTTATTTTTCTAATTACGTATTTGAGCAGTCATTTGGTGGTGTTAAAACAGATTAGTTGTGTTCATGTTTTGTTAATATCTCATGCAGCTACCTGATAAGAACCAGAGGCTTGAGGAATTGGCAATTAAGCAGTCCAGGCAATTGATACCTATGACTAGTTGTATTCTCTGTCTTCTTTCTGGGTTATTTAAGTGGGTTATTTCACTTCTTGGATACTCTTTGAACTGCTGTTACACCCCCCAACCGGGGAAAAAAAATGAAACTTAAATCAATATATATATATAGACATTTGAAGGTCTATGTTTGGTTTTGTTTTCTTGTACTTCTATGCTAGACGAAAAGCTGAACTTATTTTCTGACCTGATAAACCAAGATTGTCTATGCAAATAGGAAAAACACAATAATGAGGTTAAAGAAAATGCTTTGCTGGATAAGAAACTATAGTGTTTAGATTGGTGCTCTGCAACTTGTCCATTATATACTTGTTAAAAATTGCGTTTGTTATACTTATCCCTTGCTAGATCAGTTGTTTTCTTTTGTCCCTTTTCACTTGCGGAGTAACTTGTGCCAGAATTATCTTAGAATTAGTATATGCTAGTTTTCTTGGGACATATGCTATCCCTACCCACATTCATAAGGCCATCTGGATTCTTCGAGTCAGGGCACTAAAGTGAATGTGTGGATGCTAAATCTTTCCAATTTTAACATTCTTTCCAGGGCTCCTAATTCCGCTGATAAATCAAAACAATCAAAATACCTCTCATGCCGTAAAGTTTCTGTTCAATCTCGTGTTCGCCAAGTCAGATCTGATGCTCCAAATACCTCTCATGCCGTAAAGTTTCTGGTTCTGAAACCAGGACGTAAGAATAGTGTTGCATCTAGTCTGAATGGGAATGCAAATCGCAGAGTAGCTAACGGCTTGGCAACTGCTTTATTAATTCCAACTGCATCGAAGAGTTCAAACAATGCCATAGTTTCTGCTCTTGAAATCAAAGTTGCTGCCATGTCTTTAAATTCCATTCAGTTTCTGCTCTTGAAATCAAAGTTGCTGCCATGTCTTTAAATTCCAGAATGGCTGTCGATGATAGGCCATCCCAAACTCCATCGCAAAGCAGAAGTAATTTTTTTAATCTCGTGAGAGGAAAAGCCTCATCCAGCGCATCTGCCATTCTATCAGATTCAAGTTTGGCCACTTCATCTCCCAGTACAGATACATCTGGAGATATATCTAAAGGAGGTTGTGAGCCAGAAAGTTCTCGTGTGGCGGAAAATGGTAATGATATAAGCTGTAACGTTGATGCTCCTGACACTTCCAAGAAGACTCGAAAAATATCTGATTTTGGAGAGAACATATGTCCTAACGGAGCAATTTATCTTGGATTAAAAAGAGGCTGCGTTCCTTCGTTCTCTTGGTTGGGACGAAAATGGTGGGGAAGATGAAGGCCTCACTGAGGAGGAGAACAATACTTTTTATCAGGAGGGAATCTTGCTTAATGTTTACTGTTCTATATGTTCTATATTTAATTGGACTCGTTATAGTCAATTATTACCGTAAGTTTTGTGTTGTTTGGAGTTAATGCGTGTAGGTTAAAAGCCTAAGTGAATTAAAGTTTTGCTACCTTCCCTTTGTATAGACATAGGAACCTTTCCTACACGAGGTAAAAACCGTGCTGGGAATTATAACACCAACGAGAGATTATAAGAAAGTAAAAACGAAGACGGAAAGGCAAAACTGAACCATTTGCATGAGCTACATTCAGTTCCAGGAACTTATGCACGGTGATCACTTGTTGCCTGCATAGTTGATTAAAGGAATGTGGTTATCTATTTTATTTCTGTTTTTAACTCCACAGTACATGAATAGGTGGTCGGCCCAAATGCACAATGCTGTGTGAGTTTCGTGCTGCTGTTCCAGGCATTTATTGTGCTGAATCAACTCCTGATGTCAAAAAGTTCTTTGGTACTACAGTTTTCTTGGCAGACTGTTAATTTCTATGTTCTTTGTTTATTTTGGGTAGAAAGACATAAAATAAAATTCTCGTTCCTTAGATTTGAAGCTAACCTGCTTGAACATGTTGCAAAAAAGGAGGCTAGGGAATGCACTTGGCTCAGCTTTTTGACGTATTTTATCCTTTTCCGTCATATTTTTCTGGTAAATTATATGGGATGAAAAGAAATAGATGTCAAAAAGTTCTTTGGAACTACAGTTTTCTTGGCAGACTGTTAATTTCTATGTTCTTTGTTTATTTTGGGTAGAAAGACATAAAATAAAATTCTCGTTCCTTAGATTTGAAGCTAACCTGCTTGAACATGTTGCAAAAAAGGAGGCTACGGAATGCACTTGGCTCAGCTTTTTGACGTATTTTATCCTTTTCCGTCATATTTTTCTGGTAAATTATATGGGATGAAAAGAAATCGGAATATTAGTTATGGTTTTACCTTCAGTTTTTTAACTCTTCACCTGAACCATCGTTCTTCATTTAGTAGTTTATCTTTGATTATTTATGTCATTGTATTTTTAAGCTTGCACGGAAAGATTGTTGAATTGAAAATTCTCGTGTTACTAATCCCAAATTTGGTAATATTGATACCTATGACTAGTTGTATTCTCTGTCTTCTTTCTGGGTTATTTAAGTGGGTTATTTCACTTCTTGGATACTCTTTGAACTGCTGTTACACCCCCCAACCGGGGAAAAAAAAATGAAACTTAAATCAATATATATATAGACATTTGAAGGTCTATGTTTGGTTTTGTTTTCTTGTACTTCTATGCTAGACGAAAAGCTGAACTTATTTTCTGACCTGATAAACCAAGATTGTCTATGCAAATAGGAAAAACACAATAATGAGGTTAAAGAAAATGCTTTGCTGGATAAGAAACTATAGTGTTTAGATTGGTGCTCTGCAACTTGTCCATTATATACTTGTTAAAAATTGCGTTTGTTATACTTATCCCTTGCTAGATCAGTTGTTTTCTTTTGTCCCTTTTCACTTGCGGAGTAACTTGTGCCAGAATTATCTTAGAATTAGTATATGCTAGTTTTCTTGGGACATATGCTATCCCTACCCACATTCATAAGGCCATCTGGATTCTTCGAGTCAGGGCACTAAAGTGAATGTGTGGATGCTAAATCTTTCCAATTTTAACATTCTTTCCAGGGCTCCTAATTCCGCTGATAAATCAAAACAATCAAAATACCTCTCATGCCGTAAAGTTTCTGTTCAATCTCGTGTTCGCCAAGTCAGATCTGATGCTCCAAATACCTCTCATGCCGTAAAGTTTCTGGTTCTGAAACCAGGACGTAAGAATAGTGTTGCATCTAGTCTGAATGGGAATGCAAATCGCAGAGTAGCTAACGGCTTGGCAACTGCTTTATTAATTCCAACTGCATCGAAGAGTTCAAACAATGCCATAGTTTCTGCTCTTGAAATCAAAGTTGCTGCCATGTCTTTAAATTCCATTCAGTTTCTGCTCTTGAAATCAAAGTTGCTGCCATGTCTTTAAATTCCAGAATGGCTGTCGATGATAGGCCATCCCAAACTCCATCGCAAAGCAGAAGTAATTTTTTTAATCTCGTGAGAGGAAAAGCCTCATCCAGCGCATCTGCCATTCTATCAGATTCAAGTTTGGCCACTTCATCTCCCAGTACAGATACATCTGGAGATATATCTAAAGGAGGTTGTGAGCCAGAAAGTTCTCGTGTGGCGGAAAATGGTAATGATATAAGCTGTAACGTTGATGCTCCTGACACTTCCAAGAAGACTCGAAAAATATCTGATTTTGGAGAGAACATATGTCCTAACGGAGCAATTTATCTTGGATTAAAAAGAGGCTGCGTTCCTTCGTTCTCTTGGTTGGGACGAAAATGGTGGGGAAGATGAAGGCCTCACTGAGGAGGAGAACAATACTTTTTATCAGGAGGGAATCTTGCTTAATGTTTACTGTTCTATATGTTCTATATTTAATTGGACTCGTTATAGTCAATTATTACCGTAAGTTTTGTGTTGTTTGGAGTTAATGCGTGTAGGTTAAAAGCCTAAGTGAATTAAAGTTTTGCTACCTTCCCTTTGTATAGACATAGGAACCTTTCCTACACGAGGTAAAAACCGTGCTGGGAATTATAACACCAACGAGAGATTATAAGAAAGTAAAAACGAAGACGGAAAGGCAAAACTGAACCATTTGCATGAGCTACATTCAGTTCCAGGAACTTATGCACGGTGATCACTTGTTGCCTGCATAGTTGATTAAAGGAATGTGGTTATCTATTTTATTTCTGTTTTTAACTCCACAGTACATGAATAGGTGGTCGGCCCAAATGCACAATGCTGTGTGAGTTTCGTGCTGCTGTTCCAGGCATTTATTGTGCTGAATCAACTCCTGATGTCAAAAAGTTCTTTGGTACTACAGTTTTCTTGGCAGACTGTTAATTTCTATGTTCTTTGTTTATTTTGGGTAGAAAGACATAAAATAAAATTCTCGTTCCTTAGATTTGAAGCTAACCTGCTTGAACATGTTGCAAAAAAGGAGGCTACGGAATGCACTTGGCTCAGCTTTTTGACGTATTTTATCCTTTTCCGTCATATTTTTCTGGTAAATTATATGGGATGAAAAGAAATCGGAATATTAGTTATGGTTTTACCTTCAGTTTTTTAACTCTTCACCTGAACCATCGTTCTTCATTTAGTAGTTTATCTTTGATTATTTATGTCATTGTATTTTTAAGCTTGCACGGAAAGATTGTTGAATTGAAAATTCTCGTGTTACTAATCCCAAATTTGGTAATCTTAATTTGTTGTTATTGGTCGGAAAAGGAAAAATTGCAGCATCAATTTGCATTCTTCAAGTCAATATATGGCATGTTTGGTTAGATTTGACGAGTGCTTATAAACAAATAATAATAAAAGACACATGTACAGAGGGGATCAAGCTATAATCCTGTTTAAAATACCAAATATACAGGTACAAGGTTTAACAGTTCGCAGCAATGAAGGAGAGTTTTGCATGTACCAAGTTATTCTGAATTACAAGTCCAATACATCAGACCACTGCACAAAAATTCAGATTCCAAAAGAAGAATATCAAAAATTTGAACAGTAAAGCAAGATATTCGATATAAATCTACTTAAACTCCATACTTGCATTGCCAAATCACTTGCTATTTGTTTTTCTCAACATGTGTGTGCGAGTGTCCTGTTGGATTCGACCAAATATTTTGGATCTACTAATTTCATCACGTTCTGTCTTAGATGGAGATTATAGACCTACTCAGTTTGGACCTTTCAATGGATAAAATACATAATCATAATAAAGAATATAAAGGGCAGAACTTAGAAAAAATCAGATCAATTTCCTTTTACGCCAAACCTTAGGCATCACCACTAGATATGAACAGAAAAGGTAGAGGGCGACTATGGTAACTTCCAATCAAACTAAAAACAAGTTACCTTATTAATACAAACACACATTGAAGAACACCAGCAACTCCTGTCCATGCTGAAGGGCCAGTCTTCACCAGAGCATCTTGTATCAATAGGCCAACCGAAGCTGCCAATGAAATGAAGGATACAATGTACGCTATGAAAAGCCAAAGTTTCCCTCTGCAGTTCAAAGAAACAAGAAAAGCTAAAGAAAAACTCTTGACATCTTCAACAAAGTAAATATTTTGCATAGTTTACAACAATCTCAACTTAAACAAATGGATGAAATTAGAGAAGGGAACAGACACAGGAATACGATTGTTTACTTGTGAGCAAATGGTTTGTAGGATTTGGTCAAGGGATTCAGCTCAACTCTCATCATCAAAGAGGGGGAGAACAGATAGATTTAGAAAAATCACAAGAATTTCATAATATGCATGTTTAGCTGCCGGATTTCAACTCATTGGGATATGCATGTGCTAGAAAGTTAAACTCATTGGGATACGCATGAGCTTAGGATAGAGATTTGTATTTCATTTCAAACTCACCTGGACAACAAAATTTCTTACCACAAGGACCGTGAAAACTTGGTGTTCTCCTTATTTATTTTCTTTGAGGCTACTTTTTTAGCATTTCAGCTTATGCAACTAACATAAACTAAAACCATCGATGCAGAAAAATGTCTTCGAATTTGCTAATTAATCAGCAAAAACAATCTCCCAAATATACAAAATTCGACATGAACTACTAACGATACGCGAGTATACCATAATTGCTAATGCTACTAACCTCCATTCGCCCTCGTCATATGGGGAGTATTGATCAATAACGTCATCTGATGTGTGTGCGCGTGTCCTGTTGGATTCGACCAAATATTTTGGATCTACTAATTTCATCACGTTCTGTCTTAGATGGAGATTATAGACCTACTCAGTTTGGACCTTTCAATGGATAAAATACATAATCATAATAAAGAATATAAAGGGCAGAACTTGGAAAAAATCAGATCAATTTCCTCCTACGCCAAACCTTAGGCATCACCACTAGATATGAACAGAAAAGGAAGAGGGCGTCTATGGTAACTTCCCATCAAACTAAAAATAAGTTACCTTATTAATACAAACACACATTGAAAAACACCAGCAACTCCTGTCCATGCTGAAGGGCCAGTCTTCACCAGAGCATCTTGTATCAATAGGCCAACCGAAGCTGCCAATGAAATGAAGGATACAATGTACGCTATGAAAAGCCAAAGTTTCCCTCTGCAGTTTAAAGAAACAAGAAAAGCTAAAGAAAAACTCTTGACATCTTCAACAAAGTAAATATTTTGCATAGTTTACAACAGTCTCAATTTAAACAAATGGATGAAATTAGAGAAGGAAACAGACACAGGAATACGATCGTTTACTTGTGAGCAATTGGTTTGTAGGATTTGGTCAAGGGATTCAGCTCAACTCTCATCATCAAAGAGGGGGAGAACAGATAGATTTAGAAAATTCACAAGAATTACATAATATGCATGTTTAGCTGCCGGATTTCAACTCATTGGGATATGCATGTGCTAGAAAGTTAAACTCATTGGGATACGCATAAGCTTAGGATAGAGATTTGTATTTCATTTCAAACTCACCTGGACAACAAAATTTCTTACCACAAGGACCGCGAAAACTTGATGTTCTCCTTATTTATTTTCTTTAAGGCTACTTTTTTAGCATTTCAGCTGATGCAACTAACAAACTAAAACCAATGATGCAGAAAAATGTCTTCCAATTTGCTAATTAATCAGCAAAACCAATCCCCCAAATATACAAAATTCGACAATAACTACTAACTATACGCGAGTATACCATAATTGCTAATGCTACTAACCTCCATTCGCCCTCGTCATATGGGGAGTATTGATCAATAACGTCATCTTTCTTAACGGAATTGAACATCAAAGCAGCCAATGACGCAAATATTCCTGCAAAACAAAACGCGTTAAAATCAAACCGATAAATTCAATTAATTAAAGAAAAAGCCAGGCACGTACCTGGAAGGTAGTGGACGAAGGAAACTTTAACAGAGCTACAAACGACGGCATCGACCCAAAACCACCAACCGGCGCCGAAGACTGCTCCGGCGACTCCAGGACCGAATATGACCCACAACTCCACTATATCCATTTATAATGATAATCTCAACGGTGATCTTATTATTCAATCGGGAATTGATAATCTTTGATTCGATCGAAAAGGAACTATTTGAATTATGGATTCGATTCGATTTGATTGATTCCAGATTGCCCTAGAAGTGTAGGATTTTGATATGTATATTTAGTTTTCGAAAAAGCGTTTGGTAATATTACGCATCAAGTAATTTTGTTACTATTAAGATACAATTGAGGCCAAGTTCAAATTTTTACGAGCCTATACAAGTTTACTCGAAGTTTTAATAAAAAAAATGTCAATAATTTATCAAATAAATTAATCAGTCAAACATTTTCGACACGTAAAATCAATGATTTCTTGATCATGAGCAGCTACAGTAAAAATATTACTGATACAATAAGATCTGATCACATTTTTTTAGAACATAACACGTGGCTTAAATTGTAGTACACATACAAGTAATTTTTATTTCGTTTTTTCAATAGCATAAAAGTAATTTTTTGAATTAAAACAAATTATAAAATTAAAAAAAATTATTTTTATATTAAAAGATTCAATTCCAATAAATATTAACCAACAAAATTTATTGTATACTTGAAAGACTCGAAAATCCTCTTCACCTAATTTCATGTTCTTTCTTATTTTCAAGAAAATAGTTTCGACATAAGTTTTAGCTTTCCTTTTGTGTGAAATGAAGAAAATAGAGATGAAATAAATGTACTTTAAATATATTCAAATTTAGATTCAAATCAATTTTAAAAGAGAGTGCAATGACTCAAGTTTCATGTCCACGTATTACCTCATGTGTACTACTTGCTTCAAGAGAGTATATGCCCATTTTTTCTCATAAAATTCTTTCGTATTCCTCAATACGTAAGAGTTAATGACTTGGGTCATGATCTCCAAAAAGGACTGTATATAATAGTTTGCAACTTGGATCTAGGCCTCAATTGTTACAAGGAGTTTCATAACAAATGAATTGAGGATATTTGGTATGACGCTCTATGAGCCAAGAGCCAAACGCACACATATTTGATGCACAGTATTTGGAATATTATGGATTACATCTCCCAGAAAAGGGTATGATATATGCTTGTAACTCGTATCCATGTCTCCAAGAGAGCAAAATTTATAAGTACTTTCTGCTGTGACATTAATTTACAGCCAACAGTAAGAAAACCCAATTGCCAATTGCCTTAATGAGTAAACATGTTGAATAATTAAAATCCCCAACTATAAAATTATAAACACTATTGACCAGTCCATTGAGACCTGCGAGACAAAGACTTCTAATACGCCATTACTCATTGCAGCATAAGTGGTCTTCGATAGCACCTCTAAGGTCAAAAATCAAGTTTGTGAAGTCAGAAAAAAGGGTAATCATACCTTCACACAATTGCCAGCAGATCGTATCCTCAAAATTTCACCAAGCAAGCATTGAATCAGCAGTGTCAATCCAGCTGAAGACCCGACAGACTGCCTGCAATTCAATTTTGCCAACATTTATCAAGTTTCTCATGCATCATCCCAGTAGAGAAACAATTCGCAGTAAGAATAGGTAAACAAGAGGGATGCCAAGAAAATGTAAATCATTAAACCGAGAAATAAAAATTTCACCCACGAGTATTGTATACTAGAAATTATGTTTACTCTATTATCATTTTCTGCTGGGCCAAATCTTTTGTGAGTTCATATTTACACCAACTTTACAAAGCCCACAAGTAGGCAATACCTTCCGACAGATGTATACAATTACAAGAAGCAGAGCTTCCATTGCCCTTTTGAGAAGTAAAAAAGAAAGAAACAAAAATTTGGTTAAAAGAAGGAAAAAGCAACCTAACTAAACACATTGAGCCGCTTGAGATACATGCAACGGTAAAAAACCCCAGCCCACTGTACAGTGTACTCAGACATGCATGTACAACAAAGACATAAAACTTCCTCATCCCAACAATGAAAAGAGGGGGGCGGGGGAATATTCCACAATGGGAATTTCCAACATTAAACAATGCATCTAAGATTCTAAAGAATCAAGTCTCTCCATTTTGTTCTGCTGGGAAACAAAAATTTGGTTAAAAGAAGGAAAAAGCAACCTAACTAAACACATTGAGCCGCTTGAGATACATGCAACGGTAAAAAACCCCAGCCCACTGTACACAGTGTACTCAGACATGCATGTACAACAAAGACATAAAACTTCCTCATCCCAACAATGAAAAGAGGGGGGCGGGGGTAGGCAGCCCTTGTAGTGCCATGAAAGAGAATATTCCACAATGGGAATTTCCAACATTAAACAATGCATCTAAGATTCTAAAGAATCAAGTCTCTCCATTTTGTTCTGCTGGTTCTTGTGAACTTGAATCTGTAGTCTCCTTGTCCTTAGAAAGGGATCGAATGGGTACATAAACAAATCCTTTAGGTAACCGCTGATTCTTCATAGATGCTTGATCTGATGTCATCACCAACTCCTTTTCAAAAGTTTCAGTATGCTGCATTATGTTAAGTGCTAGTTAATATTTGGCTAATTCAATTATAAAATTTAGTAATTGACAAGATGATTAAAAGAAGGAAGAGAGAACTCAATCACAACCACCTCACAAACACATAGTCGGGGATTATCTCAAAAAGCTTTTAATAAAAGTTGCTGAAATGTGTGGTTAAAAAGTTAAATAAAAGTTGTGAGTCCCATGAAATGTATAGTTAAAATCAAAGTTTGACCAAGTGAAACACCGATAAAATTTTAGCAAAGTTTCATCAAACAAGCACTTACATTTCTATATTGTGACCGCTTGTCCACATCATCCAAAATATTCCGAGATGCAACAGAAAGTCTCTTAGGAATTTGCTTCCCAGAAAATGAAATCCTCTCAATAGGTTTTAGGGTTGAATGGTTTTGGGATGTAGAACTGTCATCTGTTTTTGGGTCATTGTCCATGGACATGGGAAGCTTAACCCGCCTTTTACCTGTAGTTGTGCTATCTACTGTCATGTCATCTGCTATTTGCACTGTTTCACTTCCTGGTTTGTAGTCATAGGTATAACCCTTGATTGAGGTTGTAGCTGATTCTGAACTAACATCAGTTTGATAAAAAGGATGACGAGCCAAAGCAGACAGAACAGAGTCTCGACTTGAAGCAAGAATACCATGTGAACAAAGAGCCAATTCACGCTGCAAAGTACAAAACAGAAGGAAATGATCGTTCAGCAGTTCAGGTGAAAGTGATGGAACCAGCAAAAAGGCCAAATCGCCAAAATTCTATATAGAAAAATGCAGCTGCACTACGCTTTGTTTGAAAGAAAACTAGAAAGAGGACCATGCAAGATGAGTAAATAGGGGAAGAAGATCTAGGTGGAGGTAAAGTTACAGTGGTAGGCAGAGGCTTACTTTCAATTTCTCTCGTCTGACGATTCTTTCACATAGAAGACGCAGTCTTTCCAATTCAACCTGCATAAAATAATCCATAGTACAGAGAGAACAAACCCATCAAATGAAGAGTTAAAGTAGCCACATATAATAACAGGTGATACGATAACATAAACCAATATACACTGCTGATATGTGGTCATTTCAAAAACAAAAGAGCCAGCCAAAGAAAATAAAACAAAGAATAATCAGGTAAATGAAAATTCAATTTGAATAAGATGAATAGCCATAGACACCGTCATCCATAAGAACAAATAGGAATAACACTTGACAACCAAATTGTGTATGACATACACAAAAGAACTGGAGCATTCCTTCTCTTCATGTTTTAGAAATTCCAAACGAGCAGATTAATACCAATACTATTAACACATTCATTGAAATAACAAAAGAAAAAGGGGAACGTAGAGAGTTGGATTCTGTCGGTACAGATTAAGAGCACATAAAATAGAAAAGGGTACATGCACCTCCCAAAGGGCTAATAGTAGGTAGAAGATACAAAGTTCTGAAAATAACATTTGTCCTCCCCTCAGCGTTGAGATGGAATAGACAATATTCCTAAACGATCGTTCAATGGTGAACCAACTCATCTTCCCACCAAGCCAACTGCAACCCCCTTCGTCTTTTTACCAAGTGCTAAAATCTCCATGATGACATATTAATAAGCCACGATCCAATCGCAAAAGAGAAACTCTCTCCTTCCAATCCATCTCTATAAATTCAATACATCATCATCAAAGGTCCACGCCACCGCCGCCGCCGCCGCCGCCACCATCACACACCAAGAAGCTTGAAAACCTGAAGCAGCCCCAAAATTGTTGGCAAAAACTATTCAAAGCAGCCTTTCATTCATTTCCCCATCTCAGCTCTGAGAGCTAACCACTTCCATTCCATCTCTCACCTCAGCCATTGAACTTCACTCGTTATAGTTGATAATTCATCAACTTCAATCATCACTGCAGCTCAGTCTGCCACCAAGAAGCTTGAAGACCTGAAGTTGAAGCGGCCACAGAATTGTGCCAAAAACTATTCAAAGCAACCTTCCATTCGTCTCCCCATCTAAGGTCTTGCCGCCGCCATCACACACCAAGAAGCTTGAAAACCTGAAGCAGCCCCAAAATTGTTGGCAAAAACTATTCAAAGCAGCCTTTCATTCATTTCCCCATCTCAGCTCTGAGAGCTAACCACTTCCATTCCATCTCTCACCTCAGTCATTGAACTTCGCTCGTTATAGTTGATAATTCACCAACTTCAATCATCACTGCAGCTCAGTCTGCCACCAAGAAGCTTGAAGACCTGAAGTTGAAGCGGCCACAGAATTGTGCCAAAAACTATTCAAAGCAACCTTCCATTCGTCTCCCCATCTAAGGTCTGAGGGTTATCAACTTCCGTTTCATCTCTCACCTCAGTCATTGAACTTCCCTCGCAATAGCAATCGCTGCTCATTAATAGTAACTGCTGACCAGCACTTGAAAAGTACCACCGCTATAATATCACACTACAATAACCCATTAACTTAGATCACTGTTGCCGCTCGGTCTGTCACTAACCATATACAATCAAATTTCCCCGAGTCATCAAGTGATGAAGATTCTAATGGATATTCTTAAAGAACTTTCCATACATAAAAACATTAATTCTTAGGAACAAGTACATAATATATTTTGATTTGTTTTAATTTATTTGATAAAGTTTAGATTTATTTATTTTCATAATTATTAGAATAAAACTAGGAAATAATCCATAAATATTGGTTTGGTAATTTCCATTTCTACCCTCTCTCCCAATCTACATCAACATTTTGGTTTATCAGCTCCCAAAAAAGCTATCGTCAAAACTAAGACTTGCAGTGTCAAGGGAGATCAAGAAGATAGAGCAGAAATCATACCTCAATGAAAATTACATCCAAGCCTTTACATTTATAATGTTTAATTCTTCGTTATTAGACTAGACTGGATACTGACCTTATCAAGTCACCGGCTCAACCAATGGATGACTGCTGAGATAAGTGGGAAAATGTCTAGATAAAATATTTAAAGCTTTTGAAGATTCACATTATTTTTACTTTTTCATGGTAAATTATAAGTTTTAAATGGATAATCGCTCATGAGAAAAGTACCATATTTGTTATTTTATTTTGTACGTCATGTTTCATCCCTCTCGCATGAAGACATAACTTATATACACTTTTTGACGTTATATTTATTTAATGTTGATTCGAAAATGATATTGTGAATCGTCCTTTGACAATTTCCTACTCTACAAATTGCTTAAAAGTTACAATGCTCATATATTATCTTAATTTTACTTTTCTATTGAACATCTTTAGTTAGGTTAATTTCAGTTACAATCAATTTCTCTACATTTTAGAATATAATTTACTCTATTGCACGGACACTTAAACTAGGATGACGCGTTCGTGTCAAGCATGTATACCGATACTCTCGAACACTCCACCATAGTCATTTTTCTTTGTTTATCAAAAATATTATATATTTTTAACTCAAAATTATTATTAAATAACAAATCAAACTTATATTTAAAATATTTCAACAAAAAAATAATTGATAACAGGTATAAAACAAAATTTATATTATATAAAGAAATATTTTTACAATACCCAAAATAAGTCATTTAAAATTATGGAAGAACAAGTCAGTGGTTAACCCAGTAATCGGTTAGGTCTGGGCTGTCGGTCGGTTTGATTGTGCACAGGTCCAAGCAAGCAACAGGACTGGGAATAGGTTGGACTATTAATGGTCGGTCTGATTGTGAACATGTCCAAAAGAGTAACCGGACCATGTCTAGTCCAGTTAACTGCTTTTCCAGCTAGACCGGCCGTTTATTATAACTATGGCTTCACTTTATTGCTCTATTATAAAATCTAGTCAACATATCTGAAGAGATAGACTTGACTAGTTTATACAGAAACATCTTTGGGAAGATAAATAATTAACACGGGCAAAATAAAAATGATACATGCAGTGCCAGTGAGTACAACTTGCACCAAAATGCTCTGTTATAAATTATAACATGCATGTAGTTATGGTCACATACCCTGATTTGTTTAAGACCCTTAAATTCTTCGAGTCCACACCTCTGAATGTCAGGCTGCAGGAGTATATCAAGTAAAAACAATCAATGTTAGATTATTAACAGACAATGAGGACAAATAACCAGGGAAAATAAATAAATAAATAAAATAAAATAAAATAAAATTTCAACCTTCGATCTCTGTTCTATGCTATGTTTTTCACAATAAGCCTTGTGCTGCAACTTGCCTCCTTCAGTCCTCACATTCATGTAGAAACCAGCACTTCTAGCACAAGTAGGATGGAAGGTGCTCTGACAGTGACCATGACTACACTGAAGATTGACAAAAATAACTTAAGTTCCCTGACGAAGAAAATTAAATAGCTCGACAAAGAACTTAAAAAGGTAAACCACAACTCTTGGAAATCTTCACCTTCAGGCAGACACCATGTTTCCGGAGGCACACAATGCACAGTTCACTTCCCCTGCACACTGTTTCCTGGTAACATAACAGAACAAACAACAGTAATAAATACGGGTTAGACAGTCTAGGATTACATATACAAATGTGCCTCAAATTGTAAATTCACTTACCATTCCCTCAATAGGATTTATTTGACCCCTTCTAAATGTTGAATCTAACACCCACTATCATGAGAAAAGTAAAACAAACACTTGATGAAAATGAAAAGAGGATGACATTGCGAGATGGTGGTGAATGAGTAGCAAAAGATGAAAGAGGATTATTTACTTCAGCACAGAACGCGTGAATCCATTGACCATCAACTGACTTTCTAAAAGCACCTGCAGTCCCACCACATAGACCACATTCTGCAACAAAATAAGGCTTCTCCCAGGAATTAGTAGCTGGAGGTCCAGAGCTTTGAGAAGAAAACAAGTTTTCACATAATTCACAATGCCATGGCCCTGTTGAGCTTTTGATACTACAATAACAATCTATGTGAACTGCAACCTACCAGACAAAAAGCAAGAATTATGCATCAGAAACAGAACTAAGAAAAAGTAAATATCAGTGGTGTAAATATGATATGTTAAGAGTAAAACCTTGCATTTTGAACAGACTAAAATTGGATTGAGAAATGTCTCGGACCGACTGCAGATATCACATGTCCGAGTATGCTCTCTAGAAAAGTCTGGAGCTAACTGGAAAATATCAGAGTTCGTATCTGACAAAGGCCTTGCAACAGCGGATCTTGAAAAAATCTCTCTCACTCGAGGATTCTGCTGAGAGTATAACACGGACCTTCCATCAGATGCACTCATCTTTGGAAGATCCTGCCAAAAAATATGTATAAAAAAATAAATACTAGAGAAAAAAATAATAATAATATACATATATATACATATATACACATATATATATATACATACATATATATGTATATATATGTATGTATGTATGTATGTATGTATGTATGTATGTAATTTTATGATTCAATAAAGCACAAGCAGAAATACAACCTGCTGGAGTGCAGGTTCTTCAAGGGCATCTTTCCTAATGGATGATAGCCTAGAGGAAGCTGCAGCTGCAGCAGTTGCAGCAGCCAATACGGCCTGAGCTTCCTTATGCCGCCTTTCTTTTCTTCCCTGCTTTTTTGCTTCCCTAAGCTCATAGAGGTACTGACTAACACACACATCATCCCATTTTTGTTTTCCTGCCACATCAATCTCCTGTGGAAGAATCCTAACAACCTTACGTATCAAATCATCTGCATAGAAAGTAACAAAAAGTGATACGGTAAGATACCACAAGCTATCACACAAATCCAACAAAAAAATGCACACAGAAATTTAAAACGGAACAGTGCCCAAATTAATAGGAGACATGTTAAAACAGGACAAAGTACAGACCACTAAAGTGTTTCCTGGCAACAGCATTACGAAGCAGTCTGTGCTGATAATAGATAAGCTCCCCTTCTACTTCATCTTCTGGAGACAGTTTTAAGAGACCCACATTTCTCGCCTTGACCAACAGATCAAGATCTACTCCATCGCACTTGATAGTCTGATCACCAGGAGTTGATTGTAATTTGTGATTATTACAGCAAAAGCCTGAACTAGACGAGGCTTCTAAGTGTGTAACTTCTCTTTCTCCTAAGCCTGCCAAATTAAGTAACCACCCAACACCAACAAGATATGCCAAAGGAGCATCAGATGGGATCTTACAATCAGACTCACGACATGCAGTTTGGGATAGCATACCATTTTTTATTTGCATCAGTTTGCTGTATATAAATGGGTGTATGTAAGAATTGGACATAGCTTCCCAATTTCTACAAGACAAGAGAACATAAATTGTCAGTATTCTCACTAAATCACTGATACTGTTAGCTTAGAGTGGGGAAAACCAAAAGAAGAAGGCTATTGGCGACCACAAAGAATGCAGAAACCTCTTCTTGATCAATAATTCAATATGATAACTAAATGTCAAGTTGTAAAAATTACATCGGCAAGAGTGAAGGATTATTCTCCATATCAGAATTTGCAGGAGTATTCCGCTCAGTTGCTGTGGCCCCCCCAACTTGACAATCATCTGTATGACTTTGGCTCAAAGCTTTTAACGGCTCATCTGTCCATGCAGACAAGGTGAGCATGAAAAGCCAGAGAAGAAAAAAAAAAGAAAAAGAAAAAAGAAATATGGAAGCAAACCTCCTGCCCAAACCAAGCTACATAAACAATACACTCCCAAATAAAAACAGCAAATATTGGTATATCCCCTCCAAACAATCAAATTTACCATGCTTCACCTTTTTATACATCCCAAAAAAAAATTCTACACTTCACAGGCCATTCTACTCTTCAATCTTAATTCGTCATTACACCAACACTAGATATTGAAACTTAAAAGAAAAGCCCTTATATTATCACATTTTCAAAAATTCAGTATAGGGAATAATAAAAAAACAACTCGTGCGCCAATGTCTTAACACTGTTCACAGTAACCTGGTTTTGTGAAATGAAACAAATTATATGTTTCATTAAATCTTAAGTAATTTTCTTCAACAGTTAAAGAAGAAAGTACAGCCTTTTCATTGAAATTTCAATATGTTATATTTCATTCTACTAGTTTTGCAGATATACGTAATTTTTCCCCAAAAAAATTCAACAATTCAAGAAGAACAGGCTTTTCATAGAAATTTCATCAAGTTGTTTCATTCTGACAGCTTTGCAGATAACCGATTCTTGGCAAGGAAAAGCATCAATGTTTCATTGCTATCTTTATATCAATACTTTACATTATTATTTACTATTCCTTTTGGGTTCATTCCAATTATTACAGAAACAATATAAACCAAAGAACACTTCAAAAGAGCAAGGCTTAAAATTAAATGTATAAAATGGAATTCCAGAAAACCAAAGAACAACATTACATGGGCGAACAGACCAACCACATTCAATTTTAAGAGAACTGTTTGCTGGATTATCTTGGTGCTGCGCTGGATTAGCCGTGATCTGCATAACATTGAAAATAAAATATAACTTCCATACAACACTGGACACCTTACAAGAACTGAAATAACACACACGGGTCTGGCATAAAAGTGACCATTGAAAATAATATTTTATGTGCTTTAACTAAAATGACCAAAAAAGCAGCTAATAGGAAAGTGAAACTAGTCTGAGTGAAAGAACTCATAAAATAATTAGTTCTGAAGTCGAAAACTCATTAGTAATACATATAGTTACCATCCATTTTTGAAACAGAAGGGATGCTTCGGCTTCAGGGATCAACAAGAAGATTATTTTACACAATATTCCAATGAATTTGTGTTTTAATCAAAAAATACCAGTTTTACTGTTTAGGTTGAACTTTAAATCACAAAAACAATTCTTGAAATGAGAACAGCAAAAAATAAGTGGCTTGAAGTCGCAAAAAGTCCAGAGGAGCAAAAAATCAAACCATCCAATTTTCTTTAAAATGAAAGTAATATGGTTTAGTCTATTAAGATAAAAATACATAAGAGACAGGAGCAGGTTATTGTTTTAAAACCATTTGTATGTGAACCATTAATTACAGAAAATAGGAAAACCTTCGATAGAATACATGTGAATCCATGGTCATTTGACTTCCACATAGGCTATACTAAACAAGTTTACTTCGATTTATCTATAATTGTCATCACAAAAACAAACAAAACATCCAATAAGAAATACCTTCTTGGTTCCATCAAGAACATACTCCCCACCTAGACCATTTGAGTCTTCCCCATCAAAAAGGCCATTTTCAACATCAGCCTTTATTATTCCATCATCATTAATCTTTTCCTTAGAAAAGCTTAAATGCTCATCTTTCACAATCCGAATGTTGCTCTTTGTTCTTCTTCGAGGTGGAACAGATTTAACAGGGACAACATCAGAGATATCAGATTCCTCCACGAAAACAGCACCTACACCATCAGCTACATTGACCCCATCTTTTGGAGGTACTCCACATCGCATTTTCACTTTCAGAGTTTTCTGAAAGCTGCTAATATAAGCATGATTTCTCAACCAATTCATTATTTTACATTGCAACTCAGGAACCATATGATTATCCTGCACAAATGTAAAGGCAATTAAAATGCTATACCTCCAAGCATAAACCAGATTTTTCTTTTCAAGTTAAGATTTACAAAAAAATAAATAAATTGATTACACCAGAATCAACCTACGCGAATAGGTAGGCAGGCAAGCATCAGATGCAACTGGCTTGCATTTTAATCAAATGATTCACCCAAAAATAGGAAACAGACAAGGAAAATGACGAAAATGCACATTACAATGAATATTTTGCTCAGTAAATCAGGTGATACACCAATCTCCGAAGCCACGTTTCTTAAATCAACTTTTCCCAGATCAATTAACTGCGAAAAACAAGGAGATAATTCACTAAACAAACAAAAACTCCAGCACTTAGTGCTAATATACTCACAATTTCAATACCTTCTTCAGTATCCTGATAAAATTCAAAGAATCACAAGCATTGACATATTTGTTACTGTTCCTATCCAATGCATCATTATCTACAGGGTGCTGTGCATCACCACTTTCCAGCTGAGATTTGGCATTTGACCTATTATCTAACAATTGTTCATGCAATATATTACCATCCAGCTTGCTTCGATCCACATCAGTTGTTTTAATATGATCGCCCAATTTATCACCATTACTTTGGCCAGTTTGTAACTTGCGAGGCTCGTTTGCTGTCGATGCCATCTGTTGATGCATTACGTTAGAAACAGAATCAACTGCTAAAGAAGTATCTCCAGTCTGTTGAGCTCCACGGTTATTCTGGGCCTTTGAATGTTTCAAGCAAAATGCACGTAACTCAACCTAAAATATACAGGCAGTGAAGAAACTATGAACAAAAGCAAATATAAAACATTTAATAAATTTTCTCTAACAACATGAAGCATTCCTCTTGCTAACTCCATTTTAACATAACCTTTACCAATCTGCATAGTGTCAACCACAATTTGGTTCCTGAAGTAATTTGCACCAAAATCCCACAAGGGAGCAAACCGAAGAAACCATTTTTGGTGGATTACATTTGATAAGAATTTAAAGCCTATAACCAAACACCATATGCCAAAAAGAAGGAAGCAAACAGAAAAACATATTCTGTTATTCAGCAATTATAAGATTCAGTCGTAATAGGACCGACCATTGCATGTATATTCAAATAAAGATGCAGAAAAATATTCTGCAATTCAGCAATTATAAAATACAATCATCATTTGACCATTACAAGAAAATTGAACCTAACTATGACAAACACCAAAGCGGACCAATTTAGTTAATAGGGAAACCCTATTAGCTATAGTCGAGTACAAATCATTAATTGCATAGCAATATGTGACTTTCTAACAAAATGCTGAATATCCCCATTAATGCAATCTTCGAATACCAGCTTTCAAAAATAATATAACTAAGATAACATGAACAAAACGTACATGTTCTTTTAAAGAAACAGATTGTGGAAATCTCCCAATAACACAACCATACATAAATTGCTGCTTCTGGTAAAATTATATAATGATGTTTATTGTAATTTTGAAAATTGTCAAGAAATAATAATAATAAAGATTTTCAAAATTGATATATCTGATTGAATCTTAAGCGTGATGAAAATTTAATTAGACAGCTACCATGTCAGCATTCTACAAAGGTGAAGTGAATTAACACATAAAGAGAGAATAATTTCCCAAAAGCGTAAAACACGATTCCTCAAATCAGAGGCCTTTAATGCATAAGACTCATTTATTAGGACACAATTTAATTAACAAAATTGTTCCGTGCTTGAAATAAGATAAAAGAATTCTAATATTAAATTCTATATTTTGCAGTCCTTATCGTCTAGACCTGGGGTTTTAGACAGAAACAATAAGGGTCAGTTTGATTACAATAATGAAATTTGGGTAGAAAGAGAACAAATTCCAAGGAATTGAATGGCCTGAAATTTGTTTTACTAAGAATTGCTAATTAAATGTGTTTTATTGGTATAATTTTTTACTTGAAAAATATTGAAATTTTGGATCTTTTAGTGTTCGTTTGACTTTGTTTTTCATAAAAATTATCATTAAAGGATAGAATTTATTATAACTGGGGATAAAAGTTGTTTCAACTGCCCCAAAAAAACCCGAAAAACCAAAAACCACCAAACCCATAGGAAAACCAATTCCTCAAAAAGGTGGAAAAGGGGGGTCACGTGACCAATTGCAAAGAAAATTTGGCCAATCAAACATGCAAAAAGGTGGAAAATGGAATTAAATTTCCTATTTCCATGGAAAATTTGTGCTATCAAACAGGGCCTAAGAAGCAACAAAAAAGAAAACCAGAAATGATACTTCTGAAGTGCAGCGAGATGTCAAGAACTGTATGGCGACAGAAGAATGTGTTTTGTAGAGAACTGTATTTGACTATGTAATCTTAAGGATCTATACAGTGTATCTAACCATTTTACAGAAAATTTATCACAACGGAATACGTAGAATTCCCTTTTAGTATAGTTAGTATATCCTTTGTTTAAATAGGTAAAAGAACTTGAAGAAGATGTAATCTATAGTATTAGAGCGGGTCAATAAAAAGGAGTGCTACAAGGATTCTATGAGATATGATCTATAGGAAGATCCCCATAAGCTTAAAAGGTTTTTGTGGAAAGCGGTTGATGCTACTGTGTGCGTGTTGGACTATTAAAGAACAAAATGTAAACAAGAAAAAAATAGCAGAAATGAAGATCTTAGGATGGAAACGTAACCATATAAAACTGAATATAATAAGAAAGAGATTATAACTTAAGCAAACATAGCACTCATTGAAGATAAATTATCAGAAGAACAAGTAACCATGGCATGCTATGAAGCACTCACACGGACATGTGCGTCCAATAAGATAAATTCTTTAAAATTCTTCATTTATATAGTATAAATTTAATTTTATATTTGTTATTAATTTTCTTTGTAAAGGAGTACCTATTTGTTATTTACTAATAATTTGAGTTAGAAATATATAATATTTCTGATAAAAATAGAAAAATAATTATGGTAGAGTGTCGCTAACGCCTCGATGTTGCCCTAATTGAAGTGTCTATGCAACAGAGGGGGCATGTCTAAGATTTAGTCCCTGTTTTGTGCAGATAAGAATCAAATTTTTAGTAGATTTTAATAAAAGTTGATGAAATATGTGATTGAAAAAGTTAATCAAAGTTGTAGGACCCATGCAATGTACAGCTGAACCAAAGGCTTAAAAAGCCACCATGTAGCCATTAACATGAGATGTCGTGGTTGCATTGGATCCCTAAGTAGATGGCAGAAAAGATATGTATCTCATATCCAATAAAAATTTCTGTTGGATAAAAAAAGTGCATAATAAATACCACCAAAAGCCGGCTTAGTTTGTTATTTGACGTTGTTGCGGAAATGTTATCAATGCACTATACGAACGGCCAACTGATCTCAACACGTGGAAAAGGGCACACCCATTATATTGTGTATTAAATAGACAATTCAAAGAATATTCACACTCTTACTTTTGAAAAGCAACGCCAAGATTCTCTTGAAACCCTTGTTTATTTGTCAATCTAGAAATGAAATTGGAAAATCCAGGAGCCAGCCTGCAGGAACCTTTGGGAAATTGAAGATTGGCTGAACTTTAGGAAAATGAGAAAAGGCCAAACCAAGGTGGTAGAACCTTTGGCATCTAAAACCTAATATCACAAGCATTTCTTAACGTGCACAAAGCCAATTATTAAACAATTAAAGTCAGCACAAATTGTAGGAAAAATCAGTAGTAAAATCATAAACACCAACTACTATTGGCTTTTACAAAAGTCTGGATAATTAATTTTCATTAATTCATGCTTAGCTGATTAGTAAGGTGGTGAAGCATAATTTATTTTTTAGGAAATTGAAAGAAAAGATTAAAGGGGACCAGAGAAACAGGGAAAAACCAACAGAATAAACAGCAATTTTATCAGTTTGTATCTTCTTATTATGTTCACCTTTACAAAATGGTTTTACAAATAATAAGCCAGATTTCTCCAAAAGATCAAATTCGCGGATATCTAATTGTGAAAAACACAGGATAAGGAGGTCATACACAGCACCTATGCAGTACATTTCAAAATAAATCAAATAATCATAGATTCCAATTAAAGCAACATTCTTCTGTCCTGTCATCCAACAAAGAAATGTAGACTGCGGTTACATAAGGAAAGCAGCAGGACATACCGTTACTGCATCGAACACAGGCACCAAACTTATCCTTGCACAAATAACAAATTAACTTCCTTCGAGAGTCCTTTACTTCATCAAGATTCATTATTGGCTCCATTGTCCTAGTGTTCTCCAAATATAAGTCAGGTGTCCACTGGCAACAAAACAAGTGAGCAAACAATACCTCAGACCCCTCGCTCTCAATAGGGAAGCCTCTCTTTTGCACAGGCTTCAAAGCACCACCGGGCTTTGGACACAGCAAACACGGCCTCTCACTATTGAACCCCACATCATTCTTCCTCTTACACCATGCACACAACCAAGAACTATCAACGTCTTCCTGAACTCCATAACACCTCTGATGGACCACCATGGCACAAGAACTGCACTTAATCAAGCAATTCAACTGGTTGCCCGTGTCACCAAAACTACAGTAATGACATAACAAATCAGACCCTTCAACCGGATGAACCAGGAGAAGCTTCTCGAACCCTGCATCTCTGCCTAAAAGCTTCCGTTTCTTAGAGGGACGCTCCAAAGCCAAATAAACCTTATTCCTACATCCTAAGAGCCATTCTATTCCACTAAAAGATGAAGTGTCCTTTTCACAATTGTCACCCTCTTCTACATATTTTTCTTCTTTAGTAGCTGACTCCGTATTTTCTCCACCCAAACTCTCAACGTCCATAATATCCAGATCATTCTCTGCGTTCATTATTCCATCAACCTCATCCTTAACATCATGATCCATTTCAAATCCATTTGCTGAACTAGAACTATCATTTTGACAAGCACTTGCAAGCATGCTGTTGTAAACTGCATATCGAGTGAGCAAATTTTCACTATTATAAGAAGTAGGGACAAAGAAGAACTTCTCGTCGCCAGAGAACCTGACATTTGAGACCTTGTGGAGCCTCTCAACGTCCTCCACATTCAGTTCTCGAAAATACTCCTCGGTCTCAACCCAAATGTTACCTCCACGAGGCCGGCCCGAGACCGACGACTTCTTCTCTGAACCCAAATGCGACTTCTTTTGCCTTTTCCGACTATCGGAGTGTCTGTTTAAGAAATGAGACACCCCACTGGGAAGATTATAAGCACCCGATATAGGAGCTGAAAGAGCCTGAGAGTCGTCAGAATCAAAGGGAGAGCGGAAAGAGAGAGCTTTAAGAGCTTGAGTGTAGAAATCTGACTCAATTATGGGGGACGGGGGTAGTTTCGTAATTTTCTTGGAACTCGAGGGCTTTTCAGTAAATTCAGGTGTCAAATTAGGGCAATTATTACTATCTTGTTCTTTCGATTCGGTGGTTTCGGTGGTGGCTTGGGCAACCCTACCACCAGCCATGGTTTTCCGTCGCCTCTGACATCTGCGGCCACCACCAGTCATCGTCTTCACTGCCCACTTCCATCACCACCAACCCCGCAGCATTCCATTCCCTCGAAACCCTAACCTAATCCTAATCAAGTCAAATCAAATCAAAATTAAACCCACAGAATCAAATCCTCCTCTCCAGATACCCAAATATTCATCAAGAAATGAGAGAAATGCACGAGGATTATACAAATTCCTATTTTTATACGTTCTGGTGCATGTGCGGCGGGAGTTAGGGTTTTTTTTGGTTTGGGGGTAAAATTGTGAGTTTTTCAAATTTTGAGGGTCAGTTTTGTTTGGGATCCGTTTTTTGGATTTTCGCAATATAGAGAGAGAAAGAGAGTCGCGTTTTTTGGAGGCAGACAAGGGCGGTTCGTATTTAGAGAGATGGAGACTGAGTGTGTGACGTCATACACTTGGACTCATCCTCGAGGAGACTTTTTGACCGGGCCCAAAATATGTGTCACGCTCCAAGCGAGCAATTGCGTCACACGAGTATACATTTGTCATGTGGAATGATGTTATTGGTTGTGTTTTAATATTAGAGTGTGTTTGATTGTCAATATTTTCTTAGTTCTGGTCACGTAATCATATTTTTTTCAAAATTTAGGAAAATATTTTCTTTAAGAGTAGTATGATTTTATTTTTTAAGAAATTTATTCTATTTTTCTCTCTTACTTATTCACTCTCTCTCATCTATTCACCAATAAAAAACAGATAAATATGATATTTTTTAAGTTAAAAATTAAATTAATCAAACACATTTAATTAACAATTTTCATACAAATAAATTTTAAATAATTGAATTGCCTAAAGTTTATTTTCTTTTCATGCAAATTACATTCTTGCAATCAAATGCACTTTTAGAGTATATAAGTTGACGATTCCTTTATAAGGGAAAATTGCATAGAGGGTTCAAACTTTATAAATTAAGGTACTTTTGTACAAATTCTAAATTTTTTTGGCTTGTGTATTACAAAAGTTAATATCAATCCATTTTGGTACCTACGGAATGAAATCTAGTTTATTCTATCGTCATAACATGTCCTGCACGTAGTTTGTGTTATAACTAATTTTCCACAAGCGTCCTTCAAGTGCATAGTGTGCAGTGTAAGACGTATATGACACGTCTCAGTGAGAGTTTCGAACAAGCCATGTTAGATTTGCGACATGAAATGATTTGATTGGTTTTGTTTTCCTATGTAAGATGCTAGAGTGTACAACTTGTTGATTACGTTTTTAAGGGAAAAATGCATGTGGGCTTTCAAACTTGGCAAGTTATGGTATTTTTGTTTGGATCCTAACTTTTTCCTGCTTATTTATAAGTGAAAAAAAAAAGTCTATTTGAGTTCTCAATTACAAAGTTTTCTACTATGCCACTAAAACATTGGGAGTCTTGAACGTGGTTTGTAATTATAAAGGTATTTTGAAAACTCATGCATTGTGGCAAGCTAATTTATGCAATAAATGTTCCTGAATATACGTAAAAATAATAATAATAATAATAATAATAATAATAATAATAATAATAATAATAATAATAATAATCCACGATTTTAGTAAAAAAAAGTAAATACAAATAGTTATATAAAGTAAGCACCGTGTTATATAGATTACCAAATGTTAACCACGTGCTAATTCCATGATATTTTTGTTAGGTTTTGATATCCAATAAATTCGGACGACAATTTAAAACAACTGACGGATAATTTATTGACGCCATAGACTTGGCACGACTCGAAAACAATCAACATTTTTGAATGGTCCAAGTTATTTAGTTGGGTTATTAGGTTGGTAGTTTGGGTTAATGATACCATTTATGCTCTTGTACATTGACCATAAAAATGGAATGGTTGGTGACCCATTTAAAGTAAAGAGAAAATTTGATAGATACCACTTAAAGGTTCTGCTTAGCGAATTTATTTATACCCAACGTACGAAATTATACAAATAAAGGCAACAAATTACTTTTTAATTATTTTTAGATGGTTAATCAAAAGATGTTGATGGAGAAATCCAACTGGGTAAAAACTCTAAGACCAAGCCAACAATCCCCACTATAGACAATAAGAACTTACAGTATGATCTAGCCTAGAAAATTTTACTAGACTCACTGATCAACTTTCTGGAATCTCTAAAACCCACTGGAACATGCTTCACTTACACATGTTCTCGATCTTTTAGAATATCTATCTTTTGTGAATCACCAAAAACGCTTCGTTCTTGTTCCATTCTTGCGCTTCTAGTCCAACCTTTCTCAATCTTCAGCAGACTCTAAAAGTTATTGAGAAAGTACCTTCCTTTATGTATGTAGGAAGTGGGCATTTTAGATTATTCAGATTTGATGTTTTCCCTAAAGATATGGTTGTATAATTTCAAGAATTAATGAATGAATCAACACTTACATATGTTCTTGAATGTTGGAATAATGATATAAAGGATAAATACAATGAACAACCACCCCCTAATTCGTGTTTAGCAGTGGGTATTTATAATTGGAGGCATTTAGATAATATGAGCTAGATAAAATTCTTGAAATTCTCGAAGGTTTTACACGCAACCCTCTCTCTCGAGGAAAAGCTCAACGACAGGCAAGCAGTGGAGTTTTTGTTTTTGCTGCTCAAGTGGGTGATAAGCTAGTGAAAATCCAAAGGCTTTTTCTCTTTATTTCGAACTTGAAAACCCCAACTTACCTAATTCATCTATACAATATTGTAACGTACTCCATGACTTTTACAATATTTTATGTTGGTCCTTCTGTCTAAAGAATTACCAATATAACATAAATTCTAACATAAAGTTCTTGGCCCAAATGATTACCAAATTAACCTATCCTATATGCAATGTTGTAGCTGTTTTTTTGTTGATGGTGGTGTGTGTGTTGTGCAAGAGAGAAAAAGAGAGAAGAGAGAGAGAGGGCAGCCTACTTTGGAAAATTGGGAGAGATTTCCACCGTTGTTGCAACTTCTTCTTCCTACTCTTGCTAATACCATCACCATCCATTCCTCTTTGAGGGGTTTGAAAGAACTTGGAGCAACCAAACTAGAGGTTGGTTTTGGGTCGAACCTTGGTATTTTTGGTGTTCGTTTGATTGTTTTCTAAGCTCAAAATTAAAGATTTCTCAAAGATTTTCACTTCAAAGGGCATAAGAGCTTGTGTTGTGAGAAATCTGTAATTTTTTTGACCAAAAATCAACTGGAATGTGCATAAATGAAAATTGGCAGAAAAATATGGAAGAAACTGTATAGTTTTATTTCATTTATGCCGAATCTGTAAATCCATTTTTCAGCTAGATGACAAATCGATTGGAGAAACGAACGCCACTGGTAGACCCGGCAAGTGGAGGTGCAGTTGGAGGTGAGACTCCGACACTAACGCGTGTAAGAGTGTGAGACGAATTTCGACGACGCATCAAAATACATAATGTTGCTGACAACAAGACAGACCCTACGGTGTTGTCGAATTTCAGTTTCAGGCGATACAATGAAAGTTGGATGATTTTGCTCATTAGACGTTTGGGTGTTATTTCGTGTTGCCGTGGTTGCTGGAAGCTTTAGGACAGACTATGGTAGTCTTAAAGCAATGGACTCGCATCTCTCGATATTTATGAACTTTCAGATGTGGTTCGCTAAGTATTATGTTCTTTTTTTTTATTATTGCAGTTAAACTACTGTGTAAGATTGTCATTTATTTTCACATTAGAAGTCATGTTAGGTTTAGGGTTAACGTGAAGTGGTAACCATTACCTGTTACTCAGCATAGGAATTACTTGTTAATTATCTGTCTTAAATTTTTTGTAAATTTGTTGTCAATCTTTTCTATACTGTCAAAATTGCATGTGACCTTATGAAAGTTTGTTTGATTATTTTGTGTAAATTATGTCATTACTCTTGTGATCGTTATTTAATACTAATGGCATATATAGGTCCAAGGTAAGTGTAAAAAGTAAGACGTGTCTTAACTGCAATATTTTGAACATGTTAAAAGAGAATGTCCTAAGAAGGATAATAAAAGGCAAAATAAGATGAGATGTGAGGCGAATATAGCTATAGGATTGAGTGATGACCCTAGTAAGATTTATTGAGAATAAACCCAGTTACTGCATGTGTATCTTTGTGCAATATTTTCTACATGTGTGTGATTGCTTAATTCTGTTGCGTTGATAGGTTACACTTTCAATTTATTTGTGTGCGTGTGTAACCACATGAATTGAAGTGACCATAGTACTTGGTGTAATTATTTGCATGCATAGTGGTTTGGATACATTAGCAGTGTTTTGAGTGTTTTTTGGGTAACGTTGAGTATAGATGTCAAGGGGTACATTGATAGTTTGTAATGGGAATATGGAGTGTGACATTTGGATCACGAGTGGAAAGGTGGTTGAATGTTGGAATCGTTTATATGTAAATAGACCCTTAAGAGAGGCACTTCTATCACTTCGATTAGATGAAAACTCATTATTTACGTAGGTTGGGAGGAGTAATGTGATGATAGAGAATTATCCTGTGGACTTATGATCTATTGTGATTTATCAATCAGATATGAGTTGAGTTATTAGTCTAGTGAGCATAGTGGGATATGATAGGAAATATGCGTTTTCGAGGTGGAAACAGCATAGAATGGAATAGGATAAGTGTGGTGAGATCTTTTCGTAGCTTCATTCATATATTTGTTGCATATGTGTTGGTCGTCGGTGGATTAACTTGGTGTTAATTTGTTGTTCTATGTGAACGTGTTTTTTGAAAATATCCATGTTATCCTATGTTATATTTTCATCCCATGTTTATTTGTTTTTGAATGTTCACTATGATTATTTATTTCTACTTGGGTGTTCTTGACCTTAGCCTTGGTGAGTATATGGAGCAGGTATGATATGTATTTTAGGTTGGAAACACGAGGTAAGGTGTGTGATACAAATTTTATTGGTTACTTTGATTATGCAAATGTTAACTTTGTGTTTTAATTGTTTGCGGATTGATTTGGTATTAAGGTGGAGATTTGTTAGATTTTCATATCCAATAAATTCGGACAATGATTTAAAATAGCTAACAAATAATTCATCGACACAGTAGACTTGGCACGACTCGAAAATAACCAATATTTGTAGATGGCCCAAGTAATTTAGATGGATTATTAGGTTTATGGTTTGGATTTATGGTATCCATTTAAGCTCTTGTATATGGACCATTTAAATGGAATGGTTCGTAGCGCATTTAAAGTAAAATTCTTGGCGTAAATGATTACCATATTAACTTAGCCTATAAAAAAAGTTGTAGCCACTTTTATGTTGATAGTGGGGTGTGTGTGTTGTGCTAGAAAGAAAAAGAGAAAAG